AATTTTGGTCTGACTGCCATAACTTGGCTGTGCCTTGGCCTACCTCGACTAAATTTGAAATACTACCTCGCTACACCATTCTGGGGACACTGTCCAAGGCAGGCCGCAATATGTCAGTAGGGGGCGCTACAAATACCTAATTCTCATATCTCCGAAACTGCTGGGCCAATCCAAGTGAAATTTGGCATATATGTACTAGCACCCAGCGTGAGGTCAGACACGTACAATGGCAGTAATAAATCCTAAAACAGTGGCCGCCATCGGCCAATCAAAATCAAGCAGCCATTTGACAGGCTTAACAATAACCAACCAAATTTAGCTGGTACATTTGTCCTCTGACCCTCAGCCCACCCTGTAAAGGACACCTCACTCGGCCAGATGGGGGCGCTACAGGGCCCCCATTTGCATTTCTGCCTATTTCTCCAGAACTGTCAAGCCTACATTTGAATTTTATTGCCAGTCCAATTAAATATTTGATGACAAATCCAACAACATATATACCTTGGTTCGCCATCTTTGCGTTTCTGCATGATTTACATTTGTCTGAAAACAGGTTTTTCGTTAACCTCCTACGATTTTCGCCTAACCTATATAAATCTGGAGTCATTCAAATCAGGAGACAGTCCTTTTAAAGATTTAGAAAAAAAACTTAAACTTTTGGTAAGGTACGGCCACCAGCCACACCCTGACTCTACTGGTGCCACGTCCATTTCAATCAGACAGCTATACCTCAGGCATGCTTCAGCCAATCATTACCAAATTTCTCTCACTAATGTAGGGCTGTACCCCAGTGAGACCCTCGTGTCGATTGGTCAAACGGGAGCGCTACGGCCACTGTTTATATATGTCTAAGACCAATCTAAGCTAATTTGGCTAAAATGAGTTACCAGATCAGGTAGAAAGGTGTCTACCGATCTCACCCATGGTACCCACAGCAGCAAGTGGCTCAGTGGGCTAAGCCTGTGTGCCTGTAATCAGAGGGTCGCTGGTTCAAACCCAGCTTCAGTGGGTACTTGAGCTAGGCAGCCCAATGTGCACAGCGTACTCTCTGTAAAGCAAGCTAAGGGAGATGTAAAGGCGTTTTCCCCACGAGGATCAAGCTTTTATTATTATTAAACCAGACATTAAGACAGGCTCAGGCACTCCACCGGAGGGTTCTGCATTCTGTCCAACATCTACTGACCTGTTACACCTACACTAAAAGCATCTCCATCCTAATTTCTACCTACTACTCAGACCATCTCACCAAAACCAGTCCTGCTCTGTCCTACAGTACATCTACTATCCCATTAGACCTACACTGAATCTCCATCCTGTTATAGGAGTATAGTTCTGTCTGACTTTCTACTACCATGGCTGCCGGTGACACTCCTCCAGTTCTCCGCCATTATTCCTCTATTACTTGTCCTACATGTCCTACCTGTCCGATCATCCTAAGCTTTGGACCCTTCAGTCACTGCCTGCAGTTACTAGTTTAGAATTGTTTTTCTGATGGTTTTTGATAGTGGATATATTGTTAATTTTTGGGATTATCTTTTCACTGTATATCACACTATATTTATTAACGTGATTTAAGTTTTGGTATAATTTTTATTTGCTTTGAATACATGTTAGACTGTCTTACATAATGTAATGCTGTTTAATGCTGGTCAAAACAGTAACATGTTGAGTGTAATTTGAAAATCTTCAGTACTGTTTTGCAAGGTGTTGCAGGACATCTGATTTCTGATAGTTGAGGAATGTTGTGAGATACCATTTGATTTATAGCCAGTACTCCAGTCTGACAGCTTTAAAAAAAATTGTTAATCTCAGGCACATTATTAATTTCACATAACAGTATCTGTCGTCAAATCAGGTTAAAATTTTAAGGGATTTCAACAATCAAATCAAGCTGACACCACAAAGTTTTTTGTATTGTGTACGTATTGTGTTGAGATCATTTGTTAATTTGTTTCTTTTACTTACTATGCTGTAAAAAAACACAGTAAAAATGCCTTAAATGGCGATGGAAAAATACCGTAAAAAACAATCAGGTAAAATACCGTGTGAAATACAGAAAAAGAACTGTAAATGTAAATACAAAATATTTCTGTATTTAACACATTGTTTGAATGTACAATTTAAAATGCAGTAAAAAAAATATTGTAAAGTACCTTAAATGATAATGGGAAAATACTGTGAATATCAATCAGGTAAAATACTTTTTTAAATATATAAAATATTTGTAAGCATAAAATTTCTCTTTATTTAATACGATTTTTAGTTGTAACATGAATTGATTGTTTTGCTTCAGTTACTGGTGTAATTTGTAACATGATAATGACATGAGAATATGTGTTAAAATACAATTTTAAATATGTAGTTCTACAGTTTATGGAAACAAGGTACACCATTATTGGGGTGGCATGGTGGTGCAGTCGTAGGCACTGTTGCCTCACACCTCTGGCACCCGGGTTTGAGTCTCTGCCTGGGTTACATGTGTGCGGAGTTTGCATGTTCTCCCCATGTCGTCGTGGGGTTTCCTCCGGGTACTCCGGTTTCCCCCCACAATCAAAAGACATGCCTAGGCTAATTGGAGTTACTAAATTGCCCATAGGTGTGCATGTGTGAGTGTGACCTGTGATGGGCTGGCCCCCCATCCTGGGTTGTTCCCCGCTTCGTGCCCGTAACTTCCAGGATAGGCTCCGGACCCCCCGCGACCCAGAAGGATAAGTGGTTTGGAAAATGGATGGATGGTGTCACGGCGTGACGCCGTGCCGGAGAACATAATCGACATTATGAGCACCCGTAACATAACGGATATGCATGGACTGTTGGGATGTTCATCCACTGTTTCATATAAGTGCCAGCAAAATAATAATTTGTCTGTGGAACGGAGGTAGGAAACCATATGCCATGTTTGTCCTTTTTGTGTGTTTGAAATTTGGTTTGGCATGCGTTTCTTTGTGTGCTACTGGGTGTTGAAGTGTTGGGAAGTCTATGGGTAACTGGTTACTTGCGCATAGGGTAAAGTAAAAGAGGTGATTGTGATTTTGGAAACTTTTTAAACAATGTTTAGTCAGAGAGGGTACTAACCTGGGGAGGGGGGTTGAGCATTTTCACTGGCAAACAGGAAGAAGTGGAGTTGCGGCCCTATTTCACATGGTTTGCCCTGGGCAGCTACCATTGCATAATTTAGCCACGGGGGGGGGGGGGGGGGGGGGGG